GATCCATTTAGAGCAGTGGTTCTCAACCTTCCGAATGCGCGACCCTTTAGTACAGTTCCTCATGTTGTGGTGACCCCCAATTTCATTGTTACAAATTGAACATAATGAAAGCATAGTGATTCATCACAAAAACAATATGTAATTATATATGTGTTTCCCGATGGTCTTAGGCGACCCCTGTGAAAGGGTCGTTTGACCGCCAAAGGGGTCGCGACCCACAGGTTGAGAACTGATTTAGAGGATCACCAGCTAAAATCTGAGGTCTAAAATCACTCCAAAGTCATGTCATAATCTCAAGGTTTTTCCACTTGGTCAGGAAAAAAAGCAAAGAGAAAAGGAACTCTTAGCAGCGAGCAAGCAAAACTAAACTAAAAGAGGGCGATGAGTAGAGCTGGGAGAGTATCAAATTTTAGCATAAAACATTAATGCTTTGCTCAAATAATAATAAATCAATATTTGCTGAAGAATTTCAATGCTGCTCACAAATGTCTTAGGGTTATGACATTAAACAGTTTTTTTAAACTGGTAAGTTATCCAAAGAAATGGGAAAACAACACATTCATTCACGGTCTGGTCTGCCAAGCATTTCTTAGACACGCGTGTGCGCCAGATACTGTGTTGCAAAGATGGGTAAGACGATATCTCCATTGAGGCTCACATTCTAGTGGGGGGTTACAAGAGTCAAGGAGTGGGTCCCCTTTATGGAAGACAGAACTCTTCCGTTCCTCGAGAATCACAGCGTAGGGGAGGCTTCCCAGGCCTTCAGACAGTGCGACCATAGGTGCACCTCAATGCACTCAAAGTGGACCACATAGTTCCCAGGTTAATGCACCTGGGGTCTTGGTTAGTACAACTGGGGTCCTAGAAACATCAGACCGCTCAGCCTACAGTTCTGCAACGGAGCGATTCCAAGCGTAGTGAGCGCTGGAGGCAGGGCCTCGGAGCATCTCTTGTGTACTCTGTGGATCTTTCAGGGGCCGCGTGGTGGGCAGTAATAATCATTTCAGATCATAATTTGTTCACCATCTACTCTGTACAGAGAGAACAGCCTTTCTTTGATGTCTGACCTTATACACCAAAAAAAAAAAAAAAAAAAAAAAAAAAAAAAAAGAGGTCACATACCTGCATTTATATCTGAGTCACCAAAAAAGATTTCCTACCTACAAACATTTTCCACACTAACTTGATGACATTTCCACTTAAGAAATTTGCTTGTTTTGAGTGAAGTATAGCCCTGTCTATATGTTTAGTTCTAGAGAGTGAACTATTCATGTATTCATCAAGCATTTAATGAGTGGCCTCTATGTGCAAAGCACCAGACCAAACACAGGATTATAAAGCTGATTAACACATGGTGTTTGCATTGCATGAATTTACAATCCTCAAGTGATAGCTCCTCCAGTGACCATGAATACTGGGAAGAATATGGAAAATCCCATAAAAAGGGGGACTGGAAGGGTGACAAAGCTGGAGAGAGTGAAAGGACATTTGGGAAGGAAGAAATGATGGAAAGCAATGCTTCCTTCAACTTCAGTTCATGGAAGAACCACCTGGGAAGCTCATCAAAACACAAATAAGTGGGCCTGATCATCAGATATACAGTAGCTATAAAGAAGAACCCCAACATTTGAATTTTAACAAGTTCCCCAGTTGATTCTGATATAGGCAGTCTTGGCATCTTGCCGTGAGAGAAACTGGCATAAAGGGTTGAAAGGGCAGAACTGGGTAGACGTGTCACAAAGGGCAGGGGGCATGTTTAGCAAGCACAGACTGGAGAGCAAAATAACTTACCTGACAGAAGGTAATGCCTAAACAATAGAGGATAGTGGTTGCTGTTATATCAGGAAGACGTTGATGTGAAATAAGGTATCAGATCACGTTTCCTTCTCACAAAATGGGACTCCAGGCAGCATTGAAACATGAAGCCCTTGGTGTGTGCGGGGGGGGGGGGGGGGGGGCGGGCAGAGGGGGCAGAGGGGGCAAATAAGAATGAAACCACGCAGGAGATCATAGCCACCTTCCCCCCAAAAAAGCAGACTGAAGGGAATAACTTACACCTACTTCATAATTTTGCCAACAGTTAGTTCTGCCTTCTCTAAGTAAAAACAGGTAAGGGTTGCTAGGGCAATTCATGGACATGTGACCAAGACCCAGCATGCATGGAGTTTCAGAGACCTGCTTCCTAGGTTCCATACACAAGTCGTGAGCAGAGGTAGGAAACATGCAGAAACATGAGCCCCAAACTCTCCTTGGGCTCCGAGGAGAGCTGTGCTCTTTAAATGACAGGCTCCTTGTGGGCTGTCATCTACTCCCCCGTTCAGTTCCATTCAACAGTAAATCTTTGCGGTCACTCATTTTGCTTTCTAGCCTGCCCCTTGGGACTGGGGAAGTTTTAATACAAAATCCAATTTCAAGCCATGTGATAGGAACCTTTAGAATGCCTTTTCAAAAAAAATTCTTTTTAAACAAGGAAAATGCTGGTTATGTGAGTAGAGGCTGGTGAATTTCATCAGCTTTTTTCCCTGAGTCATTAAGCTTCATCTTCAAGTAGATTGCTTTTCAGGAGATGGAATCCTATCAAACTTGAGGTTTCTAAGTCTTTTCAATTTTCCTGCAAATCACAGTCCTTGAAAGAATAAGATGCTCTTGAGGAGAGCAAAAGTAGGAAGTAAAAATAAATATTTCAGGAAGAACCTCAAGCTGATAGATGCTCAGGTAATGGTGACCCTTCATCAATATTCTATGTTACAATTTTCTAAAGTTCCTGACAACATACTCAGCGACATGGCTCTAAAGCCAAGTGTATATGCACATAGAACAAATTAATTTTTAAAATTGAAGCAGCTTAGAAAGGAGCTAGCCACATTCTATTATTTAGAGGAATAAATTGAGTGGCTTATGGGAAACCATGAAATGTTTACATAAATCTCTGAGCATAGCTTATGAAACATAAAGTTTCTCTATAAAATAAGGCATCTAGTTGTATGCCTTTTAAGCTAACCCTATACACTTGTAGTTAAGGAATTGTTTTAGTATTGGCGTAAGTGTTATGACTTCATGTTAATAACTATGCCAAGACTACGATGTTATTGTCTTTTTGTGAACAGAATAGCCATAAGAAATGACCAATTAAAAAATGTAGAGAAAAAAAGTCAATGAAGAAAGAAATGTTAACCATTTAATCAACAAGTGAAGACCGTAACTTCTGCCTATTAGTTTAAGTAAGGGCTGTTTTAATCCACTTCTATGACTAACAAGAGAACAGTCAATCATTCCACAAATGTATATTATGTGTCTTGGCAATGAATAAAGCATTGGGACCTGACCTATGAACTACATAGACCCAATCTCTCTCCTCTTGGAATTTATTATGTAGCTGGGAAGACAGGTAACAGATGTTAATTTAATTGTTACAAAACAGAAACATAATTATTAACTCTGATAAATGCTGTGAAGGAAAAACACCATCCTACCAGAGTAAGTAACGGAAGACCTGACCTACTAAGGTAATAGGAAAGGCTTTGCTGAAGAAATAACATGTGAGTTGAAATTTAAGACTCGCAGCAGGAAGCCAGGCAAAAGGTTGCTGGAGTGCAAGGCCTTGGGTTGGTAGTTTTGCAATGACCCTTCTCTGGAATGGGATTCCTCACAGACCTACCTTATTAGATACACTGGGGTATGAGGTCATGTTTTTAGAAACGATTGAAAGCAGCTTCTGTCGTTTACGTGAGACTTTTCCCCTCTGAGGTCATGTCATGCAGCTGTAGTTAATTGCATTCTGCCACACTGCTGGGGGGCAATGTAGTGGCTGGAAGGGTCACTGGTCTGGGGGCCAAAAGAAATGAGTGCTGGACCAGGCTCTCACGGACCGGTCATGTGGTGTGGACAAGTCACGTTCCCTTTTCCAGCCTGATCTGTAAAATTGGGAAATTTTGCTAACAACCGGAAGCTGTGATATTCTAATCCCTCACTTTGGCATACGAGGTCATCATCCATACCACAGCACCTGTTTACCTTCCCAGGTCAAGTGAGCTACCAAATGAAAAGTGCCCAAACCTGTACCACATTTTCCTTCCTCGTGCTTTTCTCCCTGTCCTCCACGATCCCTCTCAAAGGTCCAATTTCCCTTCATAAAAATTATTTTATTACTAGGAAGTCCATTCCCTGAAAAGTCATCCAACTTTGTCCATTCCCCCTTTTCCTGACATGAATACTCAGGCCATGATAACCTAAAAGACTTTTCCAAAGACACACATCTCTGAAATGACAGAGCTAGGCTCTCACACAAGGTCTCCAAGTTTCTAGGTCATCTCTCTTCATACAACACCCAACCAATTGGGAAGATTCCTCACGCCCACTAATGTTGCCTTTGTATCTCTCACAATCTACCTGTGTGTCAGGAGTTGGCAAACTATGGCTAACAGGTCAAATTCGTCAAATTTAGCCTGCTACCTGTTCTTATAAAGCCCAGGAAATTAATTTTTACATTTTAAATACTTGAAAAAAAATGAATAAACAATAATTCATGATGTGAAATTTTAGGATGTTCACATTTCAGGGTCAATAATGTTCTCTGGAACACAGCATGCCAATTCATTTAAGTCTTGCTTATAGTTGCTTTCTCACTACAAAAGTGTTGAGTAATTGTGACAGACCCCATAGTCCACAAAGCCAAAAGTGTTATGTGGCCCTTTAAAAGACATGGTACATGACACTGTGTATGTTCTTGTCTTCCATTACCTGTGGTGGCAACCCCCACCATTAGCATGTTCATGCAGAGGCACACAGGTGGGAACAGGGGCTCTCTCACTGCCTACCTATCATGTAATAAGAAACCATCCTTATTGAGCACTCGTGTGCCAGAAACTGTTCCAAGTTTTACAAGTATTCATGTATTATTCCTTACAAAAACCCCATAAGGCTCTTTACTATTATTATTATTTCCACTTAATAGATGAAGAAATTGAGGCACAGGTGTTACATATACCATTTGCTGAATTCAAACAATGCTAGTTGGAGTACTCTAGGGTCCTTCATTTTATTCATCAATATCCTCGATCTAGAAGCAAAGTCATAGTTCTCTTTGCACCATGGGAAATCACTGTTATTCATCTGGAGAGTCCTAGGGCCAGAAACACAGGCACATCTCTGGAGCCTTCTACATTATCTAGAAGGAGTGGAGGGAAAGGGAGATGTGACTTTGGTGAAATGACTTCAGAGGCATCAATCTGAATTCAATGACCTCCAATTTCACGCTTATAAAGTAATTTCATTTCCTATGCCCTTCATATGCTTATTTGTTTTAAAAAAAATACACACAGAGATGCTATCGGTTGTCTTCTCCAGAGCAGCTAGCTGTGGCTCTAAGCAGGAAAAGGACTGATAAGGAGGAGCTCTTAAAGCAGGCCACCGAGAGCTAGCTGGACATCGGGCAGAAGAAAGACAGTGAGGAGTCAGGGGAACAAAGAGCCTTCAGCTTTGCCCAGCACCAACTCACAAAGCTCAGCTCTAAAGGGCTTCCGTCCCCCAACAATTGAAAGGTAAATTGAAAGGTTTTGAGAGACACGTGCTATATGACTGAGCACCTGTCCAAACGCTGCTACCCTTTTGCCCCAGCTGATTCGACTCTGGGGTGCTACCACAGTCCATGGGGGAAGTTTAGGTTTGCATGTAGAGTGAGCAATCAGATTGATTATCTAAACCTGCTGCTGGATCGGATCCTACCCATCGAGCAGAGCAGACAAGAGAGTCCTAGGTCCTGTGCTATAAGGGGAAGCAGCAGTGAAGAGCTGAAGATGCTCAAGACACTCAAGGGAGAAAGCACCAGAGCCAGTCAGTGCTAAACACAGAGTAAACGGCTGTAATGGCACAGAAAACATAACCATCAAACCTAAGAGAGGAGCAGGCGGGCAGGTGCCACTTGCCTGACCTCAGGCTGTGACAGCTTCTCTCCTTCAAGGCTGTGCTGGAAATTAATCATACCTTTTGGGTTCGCGTGCAGAATACATCTGTGGGATGGCTTATGGTACCATTTGTTCCAGATCCACAGCTCCCAGGGCACGGTCCTGACTGTGACAGATAGCGGATTTGAAAAGTCTGGAAATGGCCCTAACGTTGCCCCAGGGTTGTCCTTGTCATAAATTAGCTGGGGCTGTTTACTTAAAAATAGCTAGACTTTATTTAGTGTTAAAGTCCCTTTCACTCTCTGAGCACAAACTAAAATGCCTCCTCCTCCATGAAGCCTTTCCCAATGTTCCCTTCTTCCTTTCAACTCTACAGCACTTTGCTCATTAGTTGCAGCAATCTATCTCACTCGGCTAGGTATTTACTTGTTCTAGACCAAGCATGTCAAACTCAATGGCTAACACAGGTCAAATAAACGAGGCATGTGGCCAGTGGGCCTCGAGTTTGACATGCTTGTTCTAGACCCGTGGTCGGCAAACTGGGGCTCACGAGGCACATGCGGCTCTTTGGCCCCTTGAGTGTGGCTCTTCCTAAGCCTTAGGAGTACCCTAATTAAGTTAATAACAATGTACCTACCTATATAGTTTAAGTTTAAAAAATTTGGCTCTCAAAAGAAATTTCAATCGTTGTACTGTTGACATTTGGCTCTGGTGACTAATGAGTTTGCCGACCACTGCTCTAGACCATGACATCCCTAAGAACAGAGGATGTGGCACAAAGCACATGGCTCTGAATAGCCTCAAACACTGGTACCACCACCTATTAAGTCTTGGATAAGTTATCTAGTGGAGTCATTGTCTTCACCTTTAAATTGGAAAAATCACGCTTCCCTTGTAGTGCACTTAAAAGCATTAAATGAGAAAGTGTGTACCTATTGCTTAGATTGGTCCCTGGAACATAGTGGGTGCTCCACAAATGCCAAATAATCCCCCCTCCCCATCATCTGTATTCTCTGAAAAGCCCGGCATACGCCGAGTGCTCAATAAATAATACCATGGTTGGTTGAAATAAATTGCTGAATCACCCTCTTGTCTGTTTGACTTCATCTCACATTGGATTCAACCAGGCAATTATTAATTAGGCGGACTTCACATACAATGACATCTACAAAGTGATTACTTTTTCTGTTTTTTAAAAAAATAAAGATGGATTCCACTATTTACATGTATTTTTCTATGTCTATTACTTACACAAGAAATCACTGGTCTGCATTGGTATGGTACTAGATTTCTAGGTTACTGGTATGGATATTCCGAAAGGAAACAGTGGAAGGCAATCAAGATTTTACGGATATCGTCCACACTCGGGAAAACTATTTTGCCCATTTCTCAGAAGACTTTAAAAAGATTAAAATTGCACAAAAGGATCACATTTTTGTTCCCAGTGCTGCTCCAGATGTCAAGCGTCAGTGCTGGAGTTTATCTTTGCCTCTGGCTACTCTAAGCAGCCCTGCTCCAAAGTCCCTCACACTTCCCCACCAGAAGGGCCCTCTGAGGTCCCACTAACTAGATGGCAACCTAGTTTCAAAATTCTTTCACTTCCTCTGCATCTTCCTGTGTTCCAGGCCCTCAGGACCTTTCTATCTGCTAGCTGATCTTATTAACCAGTTGAAGTTGTACAAAAATGAATAAGATTCTAAAGGTTTGTGAGAGTGGTGCTCCTTCTTAGGTCATATTGCCTTTTATTATAGCTCAACTGGGTAGAATTACTTATTCAAAGAAATGTCTCTGATAGTGAGAATTTCAAATCCTATGTTGGCGGATGAATAAATGCCTTGTACGTAGGGATGCTCTGCCCTCCTCGTATCACTTTAGACTGCTACCTGTAATGTACTTGTCCTTGACCACGAACACGTTTCCTTCACCTCAGGACTTTTCTTCTTCTTCTCCTGAAACCAGCTAGGAAGTTTCAGGCAAAGAGAAAATATGATTCTCATGAACCTTTGTCGATCTGGTTACTTGCTTACTACACTCTCGTGGCTGGGTAGATCAAAGGACAATCACAGACACAGATATACTAGTAAAACACTGAGGGTTCAATACAGAACTATCAGCAAAGAGAGCCCTACCAAAAACACGTGAGGCGGTGAGGGCTGTGAGAGTCTCCCTCCCAAGTTAACGCAACCCCTTGGGAAAGACACTAGCCTCCTCATGTGTATTCTGAACTGCTCTTGCTAAAAACATACTGGGAAGAGTAACTTACCCTCAGAGTCCCCAGTTCAGAAAATGGGCTGTTTGCTTTACAAACCCTAGCGATCACTCATCATTGATTAGTTCGAGTCTTCAAAATATGTGTTATGTAAAATATATTGTGTGTGCGCAAATGAGAGGCTGAAGAGGGAGAGGGAGTCAGGAAGAGAGATAGAGGTGTGTGCATGTGCACACACACACATACACAGAGGTATCTTTTGGAAGAGAAAGAAAACTGGAAATAATCCCATTGAACTTGATGAGGTCCCACCAGAGTAGCCCTGAGTCCAAGTCAAAATTGCAGGCAGACTCCAAAAGCTCACATTCCTAGAATCATTCCCTTCCAATGGGTCTAAATCGAAAATGTGTCTCCAGGCCCTCGACACCCCTTTGTTCAGACAGAAAATTGGAAGCCGCTTGCTCAGCAACCCTTTGGCTTGGTGAGCTAGAATTACTACTGAGAATTCGAGTCCAAGTGATAGATAGGCAGCTGCGGGAGTTCTAAATGATGCTTGGATGGGATGCTGGTACCTAGGGAAAGTCAGGGAGAGTATCTGCCACAAGGGGGAGCAGGAGAATTTGGTCAGATGGGAGACAGTTTGGTAGAGCTTCTGATGAGGGGTCTCACTATGAGGTCTGGATGAATTGGGAAGATGTTTTGGCAACAGACATTTATCCCTTAGGAGACAAAATAACCTTTAAAAAGGATGAAAGGATCAGGAAGAAAAGAGAGATCATTGTGTGTTGATTCCTAAGTTTTTAGCACATGTAAAGCAACAATTTTCAGTTAAAAGCAACATACACACACTCTGCAGAAATACAAGCGATGAAAGATATGTGCTCAACCATCCTGTTTTAATTGTGTATTTCTTCATCCTGATTTAATTCCATTTTGTGTTGATCTTATCTAGTTCCATGCTGATGAGGCAGATTGCCTGCATTTTACCTACACGCTTTTCTCCCTCTATCTGAAGGCATCATGAAGAAAGGGCTTCTCGCACTGAACTGCAACATGAAAATCAGATAGCAAAGTCCTAAAATTCACTTTCTTTGGAAGAAGTGCATCCGCGAGTTAAAGAAATGCTTTAACTGGCTTTAAAGGAAGAATGCAACTTCATTGGATCTGCAGAGCTCGCCTCATCAGTTATTTTGTCAAAGAAACACATTAAGTACTTAGAGGGAAGGAATCATGCATTTACTTTGCAAGATAAATAAAAGTCTATTTTTGTCTGATAAAAAACATGTTAAATATAGCTTGCTAACAAAATGCTGAAGCTTTCTTGGAATATTTTTTTTTCTCAAAACAGTAAGCTTAAAAGAGCAATTAGCATAATTCTTGCAAATAGTCCTGTAGGTGTTACTGACTACATTTCACCTTCCTTCTATGATTGTATTTGGAGGTAAAACACTGCACTGCTATGCATTTTATTCCCCTTCATGGTCAGCAAAAGGGTTATCTAGTTCTCAATCTTAATCCAAAAAGATACAGTGGAAACAAATAGTAACAGTGAAAAGTAAACAGAAAGATAGAGAGTGTGATAGGTAGGTAGGTAGATAAATAGATGATAAAGTATTGCCTTCATATTCTTTTCATTCCTTGCTCTCCTCTTCCAATCTGGCTAAGCTTGCAAGACAGAGTAAATGAAGTCTGATTGTCATGGACACTTACATCCTTTGCAGCGTCTGCACAGCTCAACGGTGAATAGTAGTTTACCTTTGTCTAGTTTTTTTTTTTCCTTAGGAATTAAGCATTCCATATTCAATAAATGACAACAGCCATTTTAGGGGGAAAAGCATGAATCCTCTTATAGTGGCTGGGAGAAATCTTAGCTAAAGAGCCCTTAGATCCAAATGGAATCCTTCAAGCAGGCAGAATTTATAAAATGAAAACCATTTGAGAAAACACATCTTGCTTCTTGACAAAATAAATGAATCTCCCCCCAACCTTTTCACTCACGAAGCCGCCCCCCCCCCCCCCCCCCCCCGCAAATGAAGCTAGCTCTCCCTTCCTTCCTCCTTTCACACCAGCCTCGCCTCCCAATTAAGCAAGTTTGGCAAAAACCACAAGGCTAAATCCAAGTAGCACAGGATTTGAAAGAGGAACCTAAAGACAGTCATTCCCATGTTGGCTTTGTTTTCTATCTGAAATGAATGAAACCCTTAGATACATCTTCCTCTCTCCTTTCTCCACTTGCTGTAGGAATGGGTTTGGAAGAGAAAGAGAAAGCAGTTTGTGAGGGGGGAGGAGTGAGTGTGTGAGTGTGACTGTGAGTGTCAGTGTGTGTGTCTGTGTGTGAGTGTGTGTTGTGGACATGGGTGGGACCTACACTTTGTGAATCCCCTGCTGGTTGCTCCCAGGGTTTCCCTGAGGAAATCTTCACACGGAAGCTGGAGTGTGGATGTCCTCTTGCTCATATTTGGAGAGACTCAAGCTCTGTCTTCAACCAGATCATATCGGAATCTCTTCCTACTCTGCCAGCTCCTCCATGATCGAGATGCCTGCACTGTCTTTGCCACAGCTGCCATTGTTTAAAGAGCTTCTTCCACCACACCTCCTTCTGATATCCTTTCTTCTCTTTTTAGCCTTTACACCTCCAGCAGGACAAAGTTTGTATTGTTATAGTCACAACCACCAGTGGCTGACGAGCAGCAGTGAGAGCCACCAGCAGGGAGCCAGGCTAAGGGGGGTTAAAATAGATACCTAGTGCAGAGCATGCCTCTCCTTCCAGGGACTGCAGGCACCGTGCACATCGCTCTCTTTAAAACAATTCTTTGTTAAATGGGATCACTCTGCCCTTAACCCAACCACTGCCACCTTGGCTGGAGAGGGAAATATGAATTGCCAGCCCAAACCATTCATCAGTCAACAGAATCCAAAGGGGATGGGGGGGGGAGGACTTAAAAATCAAGGATGTACACATACTGTGTTTTTAAAGCGCATCGCACATCGCCTGGGAGGATTTGGGTTCTTTAGCCCACTGTCCACCCACAAGACCTCCCTCTTCCTCCTTAAGGTGGAGCCAAGAAGGGTATCCTCACATTTCAGAACACAGACCATTTCCCTAAAGCCCCAGAGGCAGATAATGGAGCTGCAAAGTTCCCTTCCCATCCCTTGGGGGGGGGGGGGGGGGGGTAGTGCCTGTGCGAGCAGAATCCACAACGCACACCCAGCATAGCGCTCAGAAAGGGGGACCCTTCAGCCCGCTCCCCGCTGCATTCCCACCCTGTCGGCCCGGACCGGGCCACACCTCCCTCTGCTCCGCAGTCCGTGGCGAAGAGGCACCCAGCGCCGCCTGAAAAGAGGGCGCTCGCAAGCGTGGCCTTGGGGAAGCCCCCGGGGAGTGCGAGGAGTGGGGTGGCCTCGGAGCCCCGTTAGCGGGGATGCCTGGACCCGGCGGCGCCGCAATCCGGGTGGATTTAGATCTTCGCGCCCTCGATCCTCAGAGCCCAGGGCGGCGCAGGGTGCAGCATCTCTCCGGGCAGCCCTTTCTTCTCCGGCAGCCGGCACTGGCGGGGAGGCACGCTCACAACCAGACGCAGAGCCTGAAAAATCTCCCTCCCCAAGAGCCCCGGACACCCGGACACCCGGACACCCGGACACCCAGACACCCAGACACCCAGAATGTGTGTGTGTATGTGTGTCCACGCGCAAACACACACACACACACACACACACACACACACACACACACACACACACACACATTTAGGAGGCGGCCCTTTGTCAAGGCGGCGGGAAGTGTAGCCCCAAGAACAACAAATGGAAAACAGTTGGCGGTCTCAGACCAAATCCCTCCGGCTTGCCCATCAGCAGATCCTACCTGGTTTGGGGGCGCGTGGACGGACCTTCCCCCGTTCCTCCACGCGAGCAGGCAATGCCGCGCACGCCCTCCTTTTAAATCGCTCTCGACCAGGAAGAGGTGGCTCCCATCTTCGGGGGAAAGCGCGGCGCGGAGCGGGCGGCGGCGGGCGGCTCCCGCACAGGGCAGGCTCCCGTGCAGCGCCGGCGCCAACAGGAGCGGCGGCGGCCGGCAGCCGGTGCGCGCGGGCGGGAGGCAGGCGCGGAGGCCGGGCGGCTGGGAAGGCCGGGGCCCGGGCGGCGCGCGCGCTCTCCTCCCCCCGCGCACCCCCGCCCGCCCGCCCGCAGCCTCGCGCCGGCTCACGCGCGCTCGGCCCCGCCCGGTCCCCGCGCCCCGGCCCCCCGCGCGCTCCCCGGCGCCCTGGGCTACCACCTGGCCGGGGAGCCGGCGCGTCTCGGGAGCGCCGAGCGAGCGCGTGGGGAGCCCTTCCAAGCTGCCGGCCTCTGCCGCTGAGATTTTCCGCTTTCCTGCCGCCCCTGGCCCCGCAGTGCGTGCCGGGCGCGCGCTAGCGCTCTCTCCGCACCCAGCCCGTGGGTCCTCCGCACCGACCCGCGCTGCAACTTTTCTTCTCCACCTTTCTCGCCTCGCCCACAGACGGAGCCCAACCCCAACTCGCCTACCCATTTCTCACCTCTGCAATTGTGGATCAGATATATCTTTCTTCCTTCACTTTCTATCCCTCTGCTAAAGGAAGCTTTCTTTTAGCAAAGGGATCTGGGGATACCGTATCTCATTGATTTGTCTCTTAAATCCTCACTCCGTGTTTTCCCGCATATCAGGCTTGCAGAGTAACACGCTGGGTAGTAGCTGCTGACGCAAGCAGATAAGGCTGTGGGGGGTTGGGAGAGAGGTATTCCCCAGCCAAGAACTCGGAAAGATCCTCCGTGCTGGTATTTCCCTGAAAGATTGCAGCTCACCTGGGAATAATGATCAAAAGGCTGTTTAATGTGAAAGCCACGCAGCTTTTCAACTAGGGAGAGGAGTAACAGCTGGGCATTAAGGTTGAGCTGGGAAAGGTCTGATGCAGAAATCCACGAACCATTCACTGCCCTTTCCAAGAGAAGCATTATCATTGCCAATGCATCACTTCCCCATAATTAATAAAGGAGCGCTGCACCAGGCCCTGGCTCTCCTGACAGCTCATTCATCCTTACAAATCCTTAATGACTTGGCAGGATGGAAGGCTAGACCTACTGTGGAGTTCACAAACCTGGCTCCGCATCAGACACCTGGGAAGCTGGTTCAAAATGCAGATTTGAGCGTCCCGTCTTGAGAGTCTGATGCTGTAGCTCTCAAGCAGAACTCCAAGTCTGTATTTTTAAAGCGCCAGTAGGTATTCGCTGCTGGTGTGATTTGTCAAGGTGTGTGTATGGAAGTGAGGGGGTTGGGGAAGGTGAGAGAAGGAGAGAGCTGAAAAGCATTAGGCAGAAAGTTCAGTTCCTTAGCAGAATTCTCCCCCATACTTACAGTGCAGATCTGGGGCAGCCAGCCCATAGGAAAAAGAGATTCTGGCCAGGAACCCCACTCTTTGACTATGAGGCAAAGAGGGCCTAAGGGAAGTAGCCCTCCTCTGCCTCTATCCCAGTGGCTCTCAATCCTGGGGAGCTTTTAAACATCCCAGTGCTTAAGCCACACCCCAGACCCATTACCCTGGAATCTCTGGGGGTGGGACCCAGGCATCAGTACCTAATTTTTGTTTTTTTTATGTTCCCTGGTTGATTCCTATGTTTGTTTTTGTTTTTATATTTTTATTGATTTTAGAGAGGAAGGAAGAGGGAGAGATAGAAACATCAATGATGAGAGACAATCATTGATCAGCTGCCTCCTGCATGCCCCTCACTGGGGATCCAGGCCGCAACCCGGGCATGTGCCCTTGACTGGAATCAAACCTGGACCCTTCAGTCCGCAGGCCGAGGCTCTATCCACTGAGCCAAACCGGCTAGGGCCCTGGTTGATTCCTATGTAACCTAGGTTGAAAGTCACTGTTCTAGGCCAATATTCTTCAAACAGGAATGTGTGTGTGAATAACACCGGAATGCCATTTCTTCTGCAGCAGATCTGGAGCAGGCCTGGGATCTGCACTTTTGCATCACTTACTAGTGATGGTGATATTGCCTGAAGAAGGCCTTCACTTTCATTAGCAGCAAGGGTCTCCTGAATTCCAGCCAGTGGTTCTGGACACTGGGCTTGGTGGTGGAAACTGGAGGCCTCTTCTTGTCTTGTATATTCCCAGGAGTCATTCCTCTCTAAGAACAATTCCTTTCCGCACTGTGAGTGACATTTTCTTGGAAGCCACGCTGCACACAAACTTTCTGTTAGACGGCACTGACCGGTGGGTGTGAACAGAGTCACACGTGGGGAGACACAGGTCACAGCCAAAAATTAAGAGCATCAGCCCAAAATTACTTAGGGTCCTGACTTGAAGGGAACGTGAAAAGGCAGACATTTGGCTCACACTCAACAAATGGGGCTTGGAGAGTCAAGTGGCTGCTTTCTAAATGACAGAGAGAAAGCATGTAACTAAAGACTCCACCCAGAGGAAATGGGACCAAGCTAACTGAAGGAGGTGAGTGGAAGAGCTAAATGAAAATGTGAGTGGCGCACATCTCACTGGAATAGATTCTGTGCACAGGGTGTGGTCTGTGATTGCTATTATGGACCACTTAGTGAAAGCTCAGGTTTTCTTGAAACTATAAGCACGCTTGTGATGTGGGATGAAGAGAACCCTGTTCTTAACGTCTTTATTCCAGTGGTCCAAGGACTTTATTCCAAAGTCCATCTTGTCAGTAGCCAAGAAAGCATGAAGGCTACATCTTGAGTCTTTTTATTCCTCCTCTTTTCCAGCCAAGACTGATAGTAGGTCAACTTGAATTATTGGGGGGGAAAAAACTTTCATTAAATGGTCCTCTCTTTATCTAGAACCTTTAAAGGCCACCCAGTGCCTAGTGATTTGGCACCCATTTTGATTTGGTTCAATATTTGAGCCCCTAATTTTTATTTTGCCTTTCATTTCTCATTAAAGGCATCTCTCTAAGGGTTCCAGGGCCCTGAGGCAAATCAAACCTTTTGCTCCCTCCTAAATGTCAAGCATGACTGGATTTTTATTGCAAGAATTATCAAAGGCTTCATCACTGGCACGAGGCTCTAGCGAAGGAAATTGTGAGGCTACTGCCGGCTGTGACTTTGGAAAGAAGAAATGTTGTATGTAGAAAGGTGGTGATTAACATTCCACTGGCAATAGTATTTCTTAATTGTGTCCTTGAATATGAATTGCCATTCTTTCCTTTGGACTTGAGATGCAGAGTATAGGTTTCCACAGTTATGTCTCCCAGCAGTATGCCAGGACCATTTGGGGACTCTACTAAGACTTGATATATTCTAAAGATGGTACAGGTTTTCAGAACCATTTTTCCTGAAAATCTTCAGGAGATTTAATTAACTCATTTTTAGACCAAAGTATAAAACTTGTGAATTAGGCCTAACTTTTTATCCAGTCTAAGGAAAAATTAGACATATGATCAGGGGTACCAAATTAAAAAAAAAATTAATATTTTACTAAAACACTAATTTTTCATCACAGGGAAAATTTATTTTGTTATAATGTAATTCCTTTTCATTTAGTTTGAATTACTTAGGTCAGAGGTACCATCACTGTTTTTTGTTTTTGTTTTTTAATGCTTGGTGTTTTTTAAGTGTGTTAATATAGAACTAGTCCTTCCTGACCTCATTGACTATTTTGCCAGTTGTTACCATTCAGATCTCTGCTCATTCATGGTCTGAGTCTGATACTGATTTGTACATAAGAGAAAAGAATTATAATGTCCTCCGCCTGGCCAGCTGGTAGAGCGTGGCATTAACCATGTCCCCACACCTAGGGACCTCAGGTAGGGCCTGGCCTCATTTGTCCTTCGGGTTTGTTTTTTTTGTTTGTTTTTTGTTTTGTTTTGTTTTGCTACTGGTGGGACCCAAGGGTTTTTGCTTCAGGGGTGACAAGATTATTGGTTTACTTCTAAGGGCTACTGTTCCTTCTCTGGGGTCTTATTCCTGCAATTCAACTTTTTCTTCTCTGTTTTGTTTTGAACAGCTGAGCACCACAGTGGAACCCCATCCAGGAAGCAGGCCCTGCTATTGGGTGGGAGCAGCCTTACTCGTAGACAAACAGTTATCACCCATTCTCCCCTGTGCTCCATGGCTGGGAGGTCACCTGCTTCCTATGAATTTGTCACAGTCTTTGAATAGCAGGTGCCTGCACTCCTGCATCCGAGCAATTATAGTCAAGGGTTGGGCTTGTACAAAACCCTAACACTTGCATTTCTCATTTTTACCCCTTTTTATATTAAGGACACATCTGGCCTGTATCCCACAACTGTACCCAATGGTAAAATTTCCAATGAGTAACTCAATAGCAGAATCATTATTAGAGCAGCTAGGGGGTCAGAAAATAACAGACTAGTTAAGAGTTAAGGCTTTGGAGTCGGAATATCTGGACTCAGAATATCACTTTTAGCTGTGTGACCTTGGGGAAGTTGCTTAACCTCTCTCAGTCACAATTTCTGTTAGGAAAACCTACATGGTAAAATTTTCCTTCAGGGAGCTAAAGGGGGCGGGGGGGGGGAGTTAAAATGTATGTAATGTACTTGACATAGTTCCTGGTTATAGTAATTATTTAATAAATTATGTTGTTTATGTAACTATTAATAAAGTTCCATAAAATGTTATAAAGTCTTTTTAAAAGTTTCTACATAATTAGGTTCCACATATTCAGACCATCTCATTACTGATAATAATTATGCTATCATTTTTGTTATACAGAA